GGTCACTGCTGCTCTCTCTCCTTGTGCAGGGTGACTGGTCTTGTCTCCGCCCCCTCCTGTATTAAAGACCGGTCACTGCTGCTCTCTCTCCTTGTGCAGGGTGAATGGTCTTGTCTCCGCCCCCTCCTGTAATAAAGACCGGTCACTGCTGCTCTCTCTTTGTGTGCAGGGTGACGCAAATTCGGATCTCGTCCGAATCCCACAATATCCAAACCGATTTTTTTCCGCAGTTTACACGTCTAGAAGAGGCCAATGTGCCTCAAAAGCTTGCTATCTTTCTCTTGTCTGTGAAGGTTCTCAGTCATCCAGGTCATGGTATACCTGTAAAAAAACATAAGTCAAGGCAACTGGAGTTGCTGTATTTTTCTTGAAGACATTTCACTGGTCGTCCAACCTTAAAAATTAAAAAGTGATAAAAAAAATAATAATAAAAAAATTCAAACCAACCCTGCCACCCCCGCTATCTGGTTGGCATTCTCCACTGCATGGCACATTGCAGAACCCGGCCTTGGGGCAGCAGGGAGGTTAAATCCGATCCTGGTTTCATCTTTGTCATCATCTTACATTAGCCCAACAGTGATAGGATTCAAGAGGTCATGAATCTTTACTGGAGCTACCATGGGGCGATTCCATTTGGCTAGAGGTCAGCCATTAGTTCTCACCAGCCAGTTAGCATTGGGAACTCTCACCAGATCAAATGTGTGTATTTCTGGTTTTCATATCTGCCTGGCCAAAGTAAAAGTCACACACTCTAATATTTCATTGGACGGCCTTTAGCTTTGATTCGCCGTGGCATTGTGTCAATAAGCTTATGCAATGTCACAACATTAATTTCCGTCCAAAATGTTGCATTCATTTTTCACCGAGATATTGTAGTGATGATGGGAGAGTCGGAGCGCTGCGTAAAGTCTTCTCCAGAACATCCCAAAGATTCTCAATGGGGTTGAGGTCTGGACTCTGTGGTGGCCAATCCATGTGTGACAATGATGTCTCATGTTCCCTGAGCCACTTTCACAGTTCGAGCCCGATGAATCCTGGCATTGTCATCTTGGAATATGCCCAATGTGCCACCAGGGAAGACCTGGTCATTCAGTATACTCAGATAGCAGCTGACCTCATTTTCTGGCCACATAACGTTGCCGAACCTAGACCTGACCTACTGCAGCAACCCCTATAGATCTTCCCTATGTGCTTAGCTAAATCCAACTGGTGACTTTCTTTTGGCCAGGCTGTGTATATCCTGAATGCTGATGAATGAATGTGCCAAAAATTGCAAATGTTTTTAATGGCATGACTATTTTTATGGCGGCTTTTCATCCTTTGGAGGGCTGCTACACAAGCAATGGTGACCCAAATGGCATTAGAAGCACCCGTTGTGGACAACCTTTGCTGACACAAAAGAAACCAAATTTGACCTGAATTTGAATCTCAACACTAAACCTTGAATCTCATTTTATTTATTCCTAACCTGGTACTCGGAGATGTACTACTTATTGTCAATGGGTAGAGAAATCATCAACAGGTCCCACAATGCCCAATAGCCATATGGTCATATGGCAACATTGTGGAATTCACTTGCTACTGTATGTTCCAAACCGGCATAAACTATAAGTAACTACTACAACATAAAGAAAAATAGGTCACTAAAGCATTGTTTTCATCTCATTGCAAGTATGTTATTCATCCTGTGGCAGCTTATTTGTAACCTGTGTCACTTGTTGACCTTGTATGAGGAAGCCACCAGGTTTGACACTAGCCAAGGGACAAAGTGCCAAAGGGGATTGTGATTACTGCTTTACCTGGAGCTTAGAATCCTCTAAGTGCCCGTTTCTTCCACTGGAAAGATTCATCCTTCAGGACATTTTTGACATTGTGCTGGAGGGGTAAAAGGAGGGGCGATCAGCAAAAACAATGGGCTTCAGTTGAACACATAAATAATTTATAGCCTATTTATTGCATCCACAACCCTTCTACCGAGCTATACAAATAACATATTATCTGTAGGAGATACAATGTATCACTTTGACTGCAGATCAAGTGTATGTAGACATCTGTAGAGGGATGCTACATACCCTCAGGTGGGATCTGCAAGGTCGCACTCCTTACCTCCTCCACGGTCGCTGATGGGCCCGCCTCCTCCTCCGTTGCTGGGCCGCACCTCCTTCTTCGTCACTGGGCCTCCTCCCCTGCTGCCGACCACGGGCACCGCCTCCTCTTCCACTGCCGCTGCTGGCTCTCATTGACTCTGTGGAGAGGAACGCGCTGCTGCACAGATTACTGCCAGTGATCTGAGCAGCGGCGTGTTCGTCTTCAGCCGCCAGTGAAAGCCACCAGCAGAGGATCCCATAGCCACCCAGGCGGCCCGCACGCCATCTGGCCGGGCCCCACTGTGCCACGAGCCCCATAGCGGTCGCTATGGTGATTGCTACGCCACTGTGTCAGGTATATTGTCACCAAATCAACAACAAATCAACAACAACTGGAATTTCATTTTTTAATTTATTTGAATCCTATTTACCGTATATACTCGAGTATAAGCCGACCCGAATATAAGCCGAGGTACCTAATTTTGCCACAAAGAACGGGGAAAAAGTATTGACTCGAGTATATACGGTAATCTTTTTTTAGGACCACATTGGAAAAAACATATTTTATTACATATGAGTGACACTTTCACCGTGGTCCTAATACATGATAACATGTAGTGTTCCCGTAACAAAACAAAAAAACTATCAGTTTGTATAAATTTTTGGTTATAATGATTAATAAATCACCAGTTTTTATTTAGCACATCACTAATGGAGGGAGGAAATAATAAGCAGTCATTATCATTCGTGGCTTTAAAACTGTCATATTGGAAACCACAATTAGGTAACCATTTCCTTTTATAATCTTCTCATTAAAAAAAGAAGGCGAGGCCTTCAGATATTAGCAGTTTAATAACACACGTCGTGGTTTCACCAAAGGGGAAAAATTGATACATTTTAATGAGATAAAATTTTGATTTGAAAGTGAGTATTTGTCAATTAAGAACCTAATGAACCTAATGACTCACCAACAGTGGACCGTTCCTGTGTAACGTGTGTTGAAACGGCCACCAGTGGTTTCCATCAGCAGTCTGTATGATAGGGGCACCATTGGCAGACAGGGACAGAGCGTTGTCACCCTACAACAAGAAGCACCTGATCAAAGACCTCAATGGCAAGATCACCAGGAATCATTTTAATGGAAGCTGCAGTTTTAAAGAACCTGCAAATTACATTAACATGGGGAAATTTGAACACACCCTTTCTGTGTCCTGTAAAGCTCAGGATCGGAATTATAAGTTACTCACTAGATGGTATCATTTTTCCCCCAGGCTCCATAGGATTGCGCCCGCTATCCCTGTTACTTGTTGGCATTGCCTCAAGGATTGGCGTACTTATATCCATGTTTGGTGGGGGGTTGGTGCCCTTTAACCCCCAAAAATTAGAAGAAAGTACAATCCACAATGTCTCTTATCTTATCGATTTCTTTAACTCTCTGCAATTGAAGTTACTCTCTGTGGTGGAGCGCCAGGTCCCATCCCACTGTGCTGTCACCAATACGTGACGATATGCAGTTTTGATCCTTCCATGATGGGACAATACCACTCTCAGCCTCAACCCTGAACAGACATTTTCCAGCTCATAGCAATCTAAGGCCAGCAGACTGGGAGAAATTGTCACTGGGGTTGGTTAACCCTTTACACAGAATACTAGCTGCCACCACCTGTTAACTTAAATACGCACCATTACAGGTAATGCTGTGACATTTCAAAAACTTAAGCAATGCCTGTGATGCCCACTGTCCCTTCAGACAGGAATATGACAGGTTTTACAATACGGTAGCACTCTTCAAAGAGTCAAGGATAGCTTAAGCTCTTATTTAGAGCGTAAAGATAAGCTTAACAAATAAGCTGAAGGGAATAAGAATGAAAGTATTTAGCAAAGTCCTAGGCTCCATGGGTTCCAACAGAGTCCAGTCAATGAAACAGAAGCTGGATCTGGGATTGGCTCTCTCTAGGTGAGGCTTAGCAAAGGTTCTATTCTTGATGTTCATGATAGCTTCTTCTTCATGGTACACAAGAGCTTTTCCTTTTGGAAACAAGATCTTCCTAGCTGCCTTGTGAAGCAGCTTTTTGTGGGTCCTCTAGGGAATGTCACTGAACCAGCCTCCCACCCAATCAGAATGGCTCAGGGAGTGAAACGGGAGGGCTGAAGAGGTTTATAATCTCCTCACCAGCCCGTCCCAAACTGTCAGTTTCATAACGATAGCCATATTTTAAAATGTTCACATATTTCCACTTGGTAAACACAAGATTGTTGTGTATTATGGATTTAGCTCTGGATAGATACCAAACTTGACATAACTATGATGTATGCCTCCCCCAGAAGGGGTAATGTGGATCCTTAGCCCTCTGGACCATCTAAGCCTACCATGTTTGGTATGTCTATGCTCAGTATCTTCAGAGACAACTTTATATGTAGTAGTTATTAATGTATCACCCCCAGGTCCAAAATTATGAATATTGAGTGAATTTGTGAAACTACTGTTGACTAGCAGGGGTGAGATACAGGTCATTTGCTTGTTATCATGCCAGGCAATCTTTGGGGAGTAACTGAGTCTGCACAGTGATAATTAATTAGTGTTCTGGCTTAATTAGTGCTTTACAATCCCAACCATAAAACCATTAGCCACCCAGGCCTGAGCAGACTGTGGAATGTGAAGGACTTTCTTTTGAAGGTCTTTAAATCAGAAACACATGGATGTTTATTCTATATCTGATTTAATCATATCCAGAAGTGGATTATTTCCATCAAGGGGGACAAGGAGTTTTCTAATTAGTATTGGGGTGCCCAGACCTCATAACTAAATAGTAAAATATATCACCAGCACACCAAGACAAAAACATAGGGCTGGCTGTTTAACATGTCATGCCTGATGAAGGGACCCTGAGTGGCCCCGAAACATTGCTTCATGATGAGATGTGTGTATATCAATAAAATGACCACTCGTTCAAGATTTTACCTTGATGTGCTGGTGATATACCATATTTTGAGCTCCATAAGGCGCACTGGGCCATAGGACGCAGGGAGGGTTCTGTGACAGCAGCTGTAGTTAGTCACCGCTGAGACAGGTGGCGCCAGATTACAGCGCCACGGTCTCAGTGATCACACAGAGCAGACGAAGAACGGATGTTCTTCTTCTGCTCTGGGGTCTCTATGGTGAACTCCTATGCCGTGGTCACGGGTCCCCCAGAGGAGTGGGGGACCCCGAAAACCACGGCGGGGCGG